TTATTTGTATCCATCATATTATTTAGTAAATATTATTTGATGAATAAAATGCTGATGGATACAAATAAAATAGTAAAACTATGGTTTTTTTTTTTTCTGAAAATATCCTGATGGATTAATTGATATTAATTATAGGGTTACTAACTAAAATATGGTTTTGTTATACCTATCGTGAAATGGTGTCTGAAAATAGGGTAGCCCTAAATCCACCATTCCATGGGTGAATCATGATCCCAGTGGCGACCAGGTCTATTTGGAGAATCCGCAGGGCTCTTATGAAAAGGCCTTGCAGGCGGGTGGAAGCACAAAAAAACAGACTTGGGGAGCCCAGAAAATGGTGAATTCAGATGATTTCACCATGAAAAATATGGGTGGATATGGGTGGTATACTGGAATCTAATGAGGATGGAATGACATGTAATATGGGCATATGGGGATAATTTGGATCATGACCTCCTTGCGGCGACCTCCTTGAATGATGGGAATTCTTGGGGTTATCCCTAGACGGCTGTTGCTATCATGTTTCACTAGAAATGTTAGTTGCTATAATGTTTTATCACAAAATGTGACTTAAATCTAACTTATCCAGATCCGATTTTAAGATGAGTGTTCCCTTTTTGGATTTTCAGATGACATAACTACCATTCTGCTCCGAAAAAACATCCTTCCCAAGTCCCAATGGCATTCGATGGGTTGATCGTCGCAACTCTGGAGGATTTTTCACCGTGACTTGTTTGTGCAGGGTAATCGACCAAAACAGCCCATTTTTGTTCGTTGATGGGTTGCAGGCGGGAGTTTACGAAAAGCTTTGCTTCTTCTGTTTTGGAAATAATCTGGTAAGATAGGTTGTGTTCAAAATCTCAAGACTTCCGAACAACCAGAAGAAATGCATGCATCATCGAGCTTGAAGCACAGAAGCACAACTTCACCAAGCCGTGGAATCACCGAACACAAAGAGTTCCCCCAAACATTCAGGGAAGGTAACCATGATTTGTGGTCCGATCGCAACCCCTGTGGCCCTATAACATCCTATAACGGCCAATCAGGGGGTGTATCGCCACAATGGTTCAGTCCCTTCCCCATCTTGAAATCACGGGATTTTGGTGCAAAATCACCATTTTCTCATCGGATCTAGAGGCTTCCTAAATTGGGGGTCCCCCCAAATCCTCCTTTGAAAACTATGATTGTCCATTCTAAAACATGTAACTTGGGGTACCCCCATTTATTATGGAACCCCCCAAGTGTTGGCAGCAACAGGTGGCTCCTGAGCAATGGCGTACGCCTGAAAGCTTCAGGGCCCTACTGCTGAAGAACCCGAAGGTTCTCGACTTGTCCGGGACACCCAGGGGCGAAGCCTGGCTTAAGGGTAAATGATGGATAGGATTGGGGGGAGAATCCTCCGAATTTGAAAAAATTAGGACAATCCAAGGGGGATGGATCAACGGTTTTGGATAAACGGCCCAAGAGATGTTGGATCAATCCTAGTACTATGAGTTTGGGTACCGAGTTTCTGGGGACTTACAGGAATGGGACGGCCAAGTTATGAGTTGGTTATAAACCCGTCCGAGTGTAGATCCACTATAACCCACAATTGGTGGCATAGTTATGTATCCATTTCAAGTTATAAGCAAGCCAGTTGGAACCGCGCAAGGATTGGCTCTGGTTTCTTGATTTTGTTCAGCCAGCTTGAGGATTTTGGGAGTGCCTGCAAGGGAATTGTTTAAGTGGAGGACATTTTTGGAATATCATTTTTTCTTGAGGTACCCCAAGAAAAAAATCCAAGCAAACCTATGACCATGTGAGAAGATCCAAGAAAATCAAAGAAGAGGTAAACAAAAATAATAAACACACTAAATAAGTAAGAACTTCTAATGCACAAGAAAAACTGAAGGAAGCAAGAAGAATAAACTACTAAACACTAAGGACAAGAAAATATGTTCCGGGGTGAGCCTTTACATCAGGCTTCTCACCTTCCTAGTTTTCTTGTTCCGCTGCCCAATGTGGCAGTTGGCGTGTGGGGATTGACTCGCACCATCCTCCTCCTTCCGTCAACGTGGCAGTGTGGCACTGGTGGATATTGATGTGATTGTAGCATAGACGTAGTTGACTCACACGAGTGCCCTTAGTGACTTATAGACTTAGTGACTTAGATCCTGTCGATTGTCTCACTTCTTTCCTGATTTTGCTGTACTTTCCTAGGCAGTCTTTCTATTCTTGAGCATTTCTTCCCAAATCACACCCTAAAGAATTCCTGAAATGAAGACCGTATTTGCAAGGAACACAGGAACCAGGGAAAGTGCAGAATCTTCAGATATTTTAATATTCTGGCCATTTAAAGGGTGGTTTAGGGATTTTCTCTATACAACTCAGTTGAAGAGTTTGGAAATGCTGTATGGCCAGGACCCACAACTGTTTGCTCACAGACCCAGCAGAACGTGTGGAGTCCAAGACCCGCTGCCGACCAGCACGAAGGGGATTTACAGCAAGACGGTGCGAGGTCGAGGGAAAAGACATTTTTTTGCTGGTTGAGGAGTTCGGATGCTGGTTTTACCTTTGACATCGACAGATCGTTTGAAGTACTCTTATCTTTTCCCGAATTATCTAGGATAGAGTGATACCCAATGGCCCAATACTAAAGCTTTGCAGGAGGGGTGAACCTGCTAACCAATATTTCTCCCGGCTCAAAGATGGGGCCATATACATGATTGTAATTAATTATACGTGTATATATATATACATACGCGCAAACACCCCGATTCGCCCACACCCATTTCATGCTGCACAAACGTTACACTTTACATTCAATTGGGAAGATCAACAAGGGTATTTAGGGAATATGAATTTCCCACCCCCGTCCAACTTTACATTCATTGAAGATCTTCAATAAGGGTTTAATTCTGCCACCCCCGTTGAACTTCTACATTCATTGTAGATCTTCAATAAGGGTTTAATTCTCCCACCCCCGTTGAACTTCTACATTCATTGAAGATCTTCAATAAGGGTTTAATTCTGCCACCCCCGTTGAACTTCTACATTCATTGAAGATCTTCAATAAAGGTTTAATTCTCCCACCCCCGTTGAACTTCTACATTCATTGTAGATCTTCAATAAGGGTTTAATTCTCCCACCCCCCCAACTTCTACATTCCCGTTTAAACTTCTACATTCATTGAAGATCTTTGAAGATCTTCAATAAGGGTTTAATTCTCCCACCCCCGTCCAACTTTACATTCGTTGAAGATGTTCAATAAGGGTTTGATGATGATGATGATGGTGATGATGATGATGATGATGACGATGTGTAAGAGACTCGCACAGGTCCCTAAGCTGTGCGTGCCGATATACAACATGAAATTGGCCATGATGCAAAAAACTCTCATTTTTACCACGTTTTCAGCACATACGAAGATGACCGCCGACAAGCGCGGGCAAATCGAGGTGTTTGCCCGTATATATATATTATCCCTTGTAACATCTTATGACTATGGTTATATATATACATACACTGTATATTATATCATCAACTTCAATACCCTTACATGGATAATGGATAGATTTGTTTATTCATGGCAGTTCGTTGTTTGAAAAGCTGATGCGTTGCCATGGTGGCTCCGGATTGCACTATGAATGGCACAATCGCAAGACCTGTCAAAGCAGCAGCCCTTCTTGAACGTGTTTGTAGGCCACCTGAACCAAGTCCAGTTGACATATGTTGACACCAGCATCTTCACAGAAGTTTGGAATTGGAGATGTAGAAACCCTGTGACTTTCAATGGGAGATGAAGCTGACTTGGAAATGTTTCAACGGGACCTCTCACCATCCCTGTTTTTACAACAAACTGAATAAAAATTACTTCCTGTTTGAATGCCTCCAGAAGGCACAGGAGCGGTGAAACAGCAGTGCGTGTAGCTCAAGCATGCTGCAAACATGGGCAAGCCTCAAGGTTTAGGAGAACAGGCATGGCATTTTCAGAGCATGGCTACCTGTCACACCAACCATATCGACCCACAGAATCCGACCTGGCTACCTGATTGAAAAAAACACTGCAGCCTTGGATTTGGGTGATACTGCCTGTGCGGGTGTGTGTGGGCATACCCGTGTGACACATGTGTACATGTATACTGTGTACCTACTGTACACATATCTGCTTATGAGCGGAAATGCACCCCCCAAGTATAAAGTATCTCCGACATCTCTCGTCTTTATCTGGGAAGTTCCGAGTTCCACGTCTGTTTCTCTCCCTGACTTGGTGTTCTCAATGATTCTCAATGGACACATGAAATTACATCACACCCCCCAGAAATATGGGGTCACACTACGTAAAAACCTCATGTTTTCCCATTTTTAACCAGGGGTTCCACCCGACAATTCCCAGCGTCTTATCCGAACGGTACCCTGAGGGGTCATCAACGAAGATGGCGAGGCTGTCCATTGCGACGGTCGATGTGTCTCGGATCGCAGCGGAGTTGAAGCTGGGGTTCCCACTTTTGGGGGATGTGATGTGAGAATATTGAACAATATTGAACAGAAACTTGGGGGAGACCAGGATATATTAGGTTGGGATGAATTACAGAGATGAATTATATACACTTGTGTTCTTCCACTGGATAGTGTTGAGATGGCTTTTTCAAGGGTTTCTGCGGCTGCAAAACCTCACCATAGTCTCCATAGTTCAGTGGAATTGACCCATATTGAGCTAATCATTGGTAAGATGATTTTGGTGATACATGGGGTCTCGGCAGGTACCAATTGCTGGCGTGTGGCAACGCCCAAGCTGCTGGGACAGGCCAGCGGCCACGAGTTGGGACATGGCCAGGACCCCCATTTGGGACCTAGATCTTTTATCTTGTCATGAACCAAAATACTATAGTGCTTTCTGGAGCAACAGCGGGTATGTGATGGAACATGTAGTAAATATATGTAAATATATGTATGTGAATGTGAATATAAACAAACACATAAATAAATAAATAAATAAAACATATATATATATATAAAACATATATATATATAAATAAAACATATATACATATATAAATAACATATATATATATATATAAATAAAACACATATACATATATAGATAAAACACATATATATATATTTGATATGTATATGCACATTTTGAGGCGACTGGCTGAAAAGGGTCCACTTTATGGTGGGTCAAACTGATTGATTTTTGACGACAAAATGAAACGGCTATTTAGATGTCTCTTCTCAAACTTGGGAGCTTTGGTACTTAATGTTCCAATCGTTGATTCTTTTTGGTGCGCACATATCTGGAGATATATTCCATAATTGTCGGCTGGAATGAACCCCGGTGTTTCGAAAACTATCAAAGCAGGTCTGGGAGAGACTGCTAGAGGTAAACCTGCAGATAGTATAAATATTACAGCCATTTCAAGGGACGTCACAAACTATGGTTGATAAATGTTGATAAGCAATCCTTATTGCTCAACCAGTACTGATGATTTTTACATTCTTGGTCCGAAGGTCTCCAAAAGATATGACAACCTCATTATTTCCTGTCCCGAAATCTTAAATACCGCCTGAGAAACCCTGGTTTAGTACTAGCCCCATTAATTTTGGGGTCCATCAAAAGTGTATATATATATACAGACATAATTATATATATAATTATATATATATAGGTATGTCTTTTTCGTAGATTGTGTTGATTTCCCTCCGATGTCATCAACCATGGCCGGCTCGGACACGGATTTTTTCGGGATTTCTTTGAGAAGATGATCCACATTTCAGGGCAGGCCTTGCTATGAACCTTCGCTATCTATTGCTCAGGACTATATCCATTGATTTTGGTGGCCGTATGATTACCTGTACCGACCTCTTCTTGGTTTGCAAGAAAATACACCAACGAGTGATCTGCAAATCATGGGTTTTCCATATCTATGTGGGTTTGTCTGAAACGGGGTAACCCCAATTTCGATGGTGTATCATCCTTTATCCCCTTGAACTTGTTATAAATGGGGTTGTTATCAATCCATTTTCATAGGGACGACTTATATCAATCCATTTTTCGTAGGGATTTCTTTTTGTCATGGGGGATTTTCTATAAGGATTTCTATATACCCTCTGGTAAACTAACATAGCTATGGAAAATCACTATTTTTATGGGAAAATCCACTATAAATGGCCATTTTCAATAGCTATGTTAGTTTACCAGAGGGTATTTCCAAACATCCCATTTCCATAGGGATTTTCATTGGGAATCCATTGCCATTCCCATGGGACCAGGTTCTCGATGGCGTGGAGGTGTAACCGTCGTGGTGAAAAAAACGCGACACGCGCAGCCGGGAAAAGAATGGGTCTTTGGGAGTTAAAATCAGATACCCTCTGGTAATTTAACATAGCTATTGAAAATCACCATTTTCAATGGGTAAATCCACTATAAATGGCAATTTTCAATAGCTATGTTAAATTACCAGAGGGTATGAACATAGATTGGCAACTGATGATTGGGCTTTGAACAACCAGCAAATTTTCAAATGGACTTTTGATAGAGTGTTGGTCAATGATTCAAATGATCAATATCGGAGATGATCGAAGCATAACTGGGTGCTGTGATATATATATATAATATATACACTGGTTGGTGGTTTGGAACATTTTTCATTTTCCATTCAGTTGGGAATGTAATAATCCCAACTGACTAATAGTTATTTTTCAGAGGGGTAGGTCAACCACCAACCAGTTTTTTTTTCTGTATTCATTCAGTAGCGGCTGGTCCGGTGGTTTCAACTGGCTTGGGACACTGATCAATCCATTACTAAATCAGGTGGGGCTGTAAATCAATGGGAGGGAAAGGATTCACATTTTTGCAGGTGTCTTACTTGTAAACACCAGGGTTTCGTTTGTGATTGTCCTTAGACTTGTAAAATGAGAACTCTTGCCAGGTGAGCGAATTCAATAGTGAACCATCCAAAGAGGTTTGTCTGAAAATGCTGCATAACCCCAATTCCCGTTGTTTATGGCGTCATGTTCCCTATCAACATGGCTCGGGGTATACGCCATTTTCAGACACACTCATATCATCTTCAGCTGGTTACACACATATATATATATATACCCCACTATATCCCGGTATCCCGTTCAAATCACCATTTTTACCCTCTGGTAAACTGTCACAAAAAACTATGGAAAGATCCAGCATGCTATCAATGGGAAATTCCACTATTTCCGGAATCCTCAGGAGGTTCAGCAGGGAGCCGTTGACATGGTGGATCTCCAGGTGCCGCACCAAAAGTGGGGAATTTCACCAACGAAACTAAAGATGTTGCTGGATATAATTGGGATATCATGTATTGGAGATATTTCATGGACTAGCCCAGTCGCCTAAGCCGTCACTGTGTAAGGCATGATGCTAAGGAGAGAACGCTCTCCGGGCAATGGTAAATTTGGTAAATCGGTAAATTGGTAAATTTCGCCGCACAGACACCACAGCCAGTCGCATGTTTGGGTTTAGGGCGACTCTTGACCACCAACAACGACGTTTTAATCAGGACGAATCGGCTAATCATCTATCTTTCCAAGGTCACCGAACTGAGAGGGGGTTGGTAGTAAGTCATCCCCATGATAAAGTATTTGATGTTGTTCGTATATTGGTTCTCTGATTAGTATATAGCAGGCATAGAAAAACAGCTATAAGCCCATGAACAACCTGGATCTTATATCATCATATATCATGATGATAAAAAAACAGCAATTGCTTTGAGACCAATCATGCCAAGGACGGACGAATGACCCCCCGATAGGCAAACAACACATACATATTCTTTTTCCAGGGAACACCCAATTTCTTCCTGAACAATTTGGATTGATGATACCGTTTGATCTACATTTTTTCAGCATCACAGACCCAAACAAAGTTTGATCATCCTTATCTAATCCGATGACTTGTGGGGTAATCATGAGTCAGTTCACCCTAGTTCCATCCTAGTTCCAACAAATATAACAAATATTCGTCCACAGAACTGTGGCATTAAGGATCATCAGTATCAACTGATGCCCATTTGAGTGCGGTTAAGTTCGGAATTCGAAACGAGGTTATGAATACCCTCTCGGTCATCAAACATAGCAATGGAAAATAATCTATATAAATGCTGGATTTCCCATGGCCTCGTTTCATTACCAGAGGGTACATGCGATTTAGATTATCAACATACAACCGAGATTTTGACTCCCTACATCCGGAGCTTTGCTTCAGAGTTGATTGCGACTAGTCTGATTTTTCTTTCCTACAGATGCACGAAGCGCAAGTGCGTATCTCGCGGTCTTGATCTTCCAACTGGGTCAGTCTTGGGTCCCAGGTCCTGTCTCGTTTCCTGAGAGACGTCCTGCGACACCACTCCAAGGCAGAGATGTTTTTTCAGGGTCTAGCATTCATTTCATTTTTCATCATTTTTTTCATCATTTTTTCCATCAGTTTTCGATTTGAGACCAGTTAGAAATAGGATCACCATGGATAACCCCATACCTTGGGAGTATTTTTTGGTCATGGCTTCATGGCTTTCGCGGCTTCGCCTTGGTCGCCTTGGCACAGCTCAGGCCTGGGACACGGCTGTGGCCAACGCCGGGGAGATGCTGGTGTGGCCACCCAGGAGATTTCGATGGTTTCGATGGTGGAAAATATGGGATTAATTGTGTCACCATGGAATTTTCCCATCAATAGGGACTTAATATGGGTTAATGATGGTTAATGGGACTTAATATATCTTAATATGGACTTAATATGGTTGGTGGTGACTGGAACCATGGAATATCATGGAATTTTGAATGACTTTCCAGAAACAGGTGGGAATGTCATAATCCATCATAATCCCAACTGACGAACGAAGTCATATTTTTCAGATGGGTGGCGAAAAACCACCAACCAGTTTAATATGTTTCTTGAGAAGTGGGAAAAAGCACATGCAGCCCATGTATAATTCGGGATCCGTGTTACGATGCTGGAATTCATTCGAAGTCCCAAGTGAAGATCAAGCAGCAAGACATCGCATAATGAACACAAATTCAGCCAACAAACCTGGCGATACTAGGCATGAAAATCCATGACATATGTTTTTTTCTCTCCTTTGGTTATTTTTCATGAGAAGATCATCAATCTCTGCATGTAATTTTCATAAGTTATTTTCCAGCATGCAATCTTAGGTTATCGGAGGGTATTTGATGTTGCCTTAAATCATCTCAATTTCATCTCAATCTAGGTTTTGGTCGTGATTTGCTCAAAATTATTCAGAATGATGGGCCCCTCTTACTTGTGAAGGGGGCTCACACCCTCAATCAAACTTACGCGAGATCTGCAAATTTGAGCAGATATAGCATCATCATGCATCACACATATTCTTGCACAGCCATTTCGGCGAGCCGTGGCAACAGTTTCCGGAGATTCAGAAGGAGAGACAGAGTTCGGCTGGTGAAATTGACCCACCATGGAATGAAGACTTGCTCTTTTGGCTCTTTTGGCTCTTTTGGGATGAGAGTTCTTTCGAGATTCAAGACTTGAAGCAGTTGGCCTTCGATAGCTGTGCTGCGAGCCTTGGTTCAGCACCGTTCGGAGAACGCCGTTGCTCCAACGAAAGTACAGGGGAACTCGTGCAGCATCAGCCAATTCTACAGAGCTCACCCAAGCTGAAGCCGCACTGCAGGCTGTTTCTGAAAAGCAAGTTGAATTGGAGGAGGCCGTAGCTCGAACTACGCGACTTGAACACAAAAAGCTGCTTAGCGAAAAGAGGTGCAAGGAACTTCAACAGCAAGTTCGAGAGGGGGAAAAAGAGAAGCAGCAGATGTTGGAAGACCTGAAGTACCAAATGCAACTGGAGGCGCAGCAGTCTACAGCGTCTTTGCAAGAATTCGCTCGTGCAGAAACTGCTCGCAGGTTCGGCAAAACGAAGAGCCCGCAAAGCTGAAACAGCTGTTGCAAGTCTGCAATTTCCGTTTCAGCTTTGCTGTCTCTTTCGACATCTTCACTCCTCGAAGCCACATGTTCCGGTGGGCGGACCCCCCCACAGAAAAGGTGTTTTGACTATGACCATGGCAATTGTGACAAAATCACATACACTTGGTAGGTTCCATTCAGTTTTTCCGGCTATGTCGGCTTTGTAGCATCGGGAGAATTGTTTCCTTGCAGCAATGGATGACAAGATGACCTTGGAGTCAACATGAAGGGATCGGTTGAAACCTGGCCCAAACTTGAGTTGATTGTTGGCTAGTTTTCACCAGATCGCTAACCAATTCTTTTTTGAATTTGTTGGGTGTACTTAGGGCGATAGCATCCGTGCAGCCAGCCAAATCTTTTATGTAGGAAGATCAGTGCGATATTGCCCACCAACTTCACGATGACCCTGCAGCAATTCGACCAAACAAATTCAAGAACCTTGATGCGTGATGCAAAACCCAGTGGCTCTAGTAGATTTTGCCTGAGTCTTTGACCCAGCGAAAAAAACATGATTGCTCATGCCACTAGTGTTCAGTTTGCCAACAGTTTTACTGTATCAATTTTAATCTCATATTTGATGTAGTTGTGGTTTACCATAACATTTTTCTTATCCAGATTGAGTTGGCTGAATCAGTTCACTTTCCTTTGAAAAACGTCCCTGGATGCCATGGACAATGCTCGCATTTTGCCGGAGAGCAGCAGCGAGTACCAACGTCTCAGGGCTCCTCAGCTGGATTCCTATAGGGATGACGTGCTGGATGGGTTGGAACATGGCATAGTTATGGCCTATGGCATAGTTAGTTGGAATTTTCATGGGGAAATCTTTCGCAGCCAACTTGGCAGGTTTCTTTCCAAAGCTGGGTTCAGTATCTAAGCTTAGCTGGATCTGCCACAAATGTCGAGCATCAAGTTCTCATCCAGTCGTCATGGACCATGACTTAGTATAGGTTAACCCATGTGACTTGCCGATCCATTTTCAGGAAACACCCATATGGCCTATTTATATATAATCTACCATACATCCTGCGTCAACCTACTTCTAAACTAACTGAGCCAAAGCAGGGTGCTTTTAACCAGGGTGTTTTTTCTGTAAAATGTCTCCAATGAATGGGGGTGTAGATGCAGGAACATAATCTGAACGATCCAGCCAGCATCACGAACAGCTATGAAGTCCAGTCGCCCTTGGTGGTCGACCCCAGATGTCCAGTATTTTGACTTATAATTTGGAAAAGCTGAGCAAAACCCGATGCAAGGCATCATTTCTAATTGGATTTTTCAAGTACATAACTATACACAACTTTTCCAGCGGCTTTGAAACATCATTTTTGATGGGTTTTAACAATTCAGATGCTTTGATGATGTTTGATCACCAATTTCATCAAATACTGTTCAACGCCATCACAAACCATAAATGCCATTGAATATCATTTAAAAATCATGAAACGCCTCAATAACTTCTACATGTTGGTTTCAAGGTTAAGATGTCTCTCTGTTGCCCGGGTCAGTGGGCAGCCGGAGTGGTGACCCTCATTTGCATGCTATTTAGGTGTTGCTTCATCCGGAATTGACTTGTTTCATTGACTCAGAAAAACACATAGAGGAAAATATTTCATGACTTGTAGACACATTTGCACCCATGTTTAAACGATCTCCCTGTCTAAAAAAACGGTTCTTATCCAACATCGGAAAAAATGCACCCCTAAATCCGTGAGTGGATCATCATTTTCTGCTTCTATGGCCAGAAAAAGGGGCTATGTAATCATCAAGCATACCCATATCATTGCTAATATCCCATTAAATATCACCGTTTCAATGGTTCATCAGGGCTAACCTACTATACCATGTTAGTGGAATGCGCTTTGTTTCAAAACACGGTATCCCTGATTACTCCAATTAAAAGGACATTTGGGGGGTATCCGACATTTTTAGCCCAAATATCAGATTGTTGGTGATCTGGCAGCCTGGCCGCCTGGCCTGTTATTTTCCCATAACAGAAAAACCATCCATATGAGTGTTCCTGAAAATGGGGGGATCACCAAGTTTGCATTGGTTGCAATTCAAAAGCAGTTTGATTTTGGATGATTTGGGCCCGATTTCAGGAAACCTCCAATATATGGATTTTCCCAACTTTTCATGGTTAGATCCCCAAGTTTCAAAACCCCCCAGGTAGTGGTAGTGCCCCAGTTCGTGAGCAAAGTTGGTGCAAATACCTTCAATAACGTTTGGGTTTATAGTAGATATATCGAACTAGGTACCATGGTTTATAGACCAATTTATAGACATATCACCATCTATCTATCTATCTACCTACATGTATAGATATAATATACGTACATATTGCAATGCATTTGGGGGGTTCTGGAGGGGTGTGTGACCATATATATATATATATACACATACTTATATATATATACACACACGCACACATATTTTTCCAACTTTTCATGGTTACATCATTGAATCCTCAAGTTTGAAAATCCCCGGGATGATCCACTTCGGCTTCCTGGATCCGAACCGAGCCTCAGGATCACTTGGCCCGCAGCGGTGCAGTGCTGTCGCGCTATCGGCTCAATTCCAGCGAGCGCAGCGTACGGAAGGCGTGGCTGGTGGATGTGGTAACTTCACGTGGGCATTAAAAATACTTTGGTTGATTGGTGGATTTGTTGGGACTTATTCTATATACATCTAATCATCTATATACTAACTATATACCATTATATACCTAATTTACTGGGTATTATGATAAGCCATAGTAGGGAAACCTATCAACCAACTAGTATAATGAGATGGGATAGGGGTATTTGAATGGCTCAAGTATCAAGTATGCCCATGACACATTCCCGCACTTTGCTACATATCATACCCTGATGGCTTTTGCGGAGCGGCGGTCATTGGTATGTTGATTTTCATGAGACATTACCAATAATGCTGATTAATGTGGGCAACTCAATAAAACAACATACTTTTTTGATCTTTTTTGGGATCTTTATGCCACCCATATCTGGTGATTTTGGGGATGGTTTATTTTTGGGTTTACCACATAAACTTGGAATATTTCAGAAATCACGTTTTCTTGGATGACCACAAAAAACTCCAGACTTTCTTGGATATCACTAGAATCATTTTTGGACAGACAGTTCGGAATTTTCATGATCTATGGACTGATGACGAACGTTCATTGTAAAGATGATATGGACCAATAGCCAAGGCATCATTGGTGGTTGTTGAGTGATGATGATGGCTACGGCTGCTGTTGCAATAAGTGCCTTCATTAACTTGGGACGGTCGTTATCATTCTTTATGTACGTACCAAAACATGGGAAGGGAACCGGTATGACCATTGATTAATTCTGATTAAACTGGGTTATGTCAAGTTTTGATCCTTGTTTTTGCCAAGGACAATATCTAATTGCCACAAATGCCTAGTTAGTGTTTAAATTGCTATGGTTCGTGCTGCAATGGGGTATCTTGATATATTTTTTATTTATTTGTAAAACAATGTCATGATATACTACTTCTTATCAAGTATGGTCCGGTTACCATCGTTAGATTTGATTTAATTAGGGTGTGGCCATTGCAACGGTCATAATTTATATTGGTATTCAAATGTATTAAACAATAGCAACCGTCTTATTGCTTGTTCTTGGTATTTGTTTGTGCATTCACAGATCGTTACAGATCAGCAGCAAAGAGAAACATGCATAATACCCAATTATGCGTCCCAGACTATACCAATCAACTCGGTGGTTATTACTATCCGGGGTAAAAAGATGATAAAATAGAATACAGATTCCCTGGAATACGGTTTTAGCAAAATAATCATGGTTGTAATAATTTGCATATTTGTAATTGTAGTGATTGCCCAGGCTATACTGAGAATTGTAGAAATTAGACCCAACGACTCAAAGCATAGAAATTACAAGTCTGTTCAAATGATTATGATTTAAATGCCTATCAGAGATATTAATAGCCCTTGTACGCTGATAATCTGTGATTATGGTAATTGATGATATATGGTAAATTATAATCCCAGCCTTTTTCTCCATTTGATCCAGACAATGTTGCTCATAGATATTGTGAAACCATCAGGACTTTTCCGGATTTATTCTTAACATTTACGGTATTTCTGGTGTAATATACAGATTATAACTGCATATGGTATGCCCAACGATATAATGACCAACTACCATACTCATTGGGTTGTACGATTAAAACTCTTGTTTATCATGTTATTGACCATGGGAGCACCTTTTAACAAAATTCATGCATCCCATTGTTCCCCCAAGAAATACCATCATTTCTTCTCAGTGATTTTCAGTGAAATTCACCATGAAATCCCGCAGTTTCTATTTATAAATTAATGACTCTTAACATGATTTACAGATGAAATACCATGATTTACAGATGAAAAACCATCATCTACGGATGATTCTTCTATATATACTGATGGTGAAATCTCCCCCTTTCGCAGGTCCTCGTGCTCCAGCGTGCCGCGCGCCTGCGTCTGCCCCGCTTGGAACGCGCTTTTTGGGCGACGGCGCGGTGCTGCGCGATGCCGGATCGCCTGGCGTTACCGGAGGTGCCACGAAGAAGTGGTGAATTTGGATTCTTATGACATTTAGATCAAACACTTAGAATGAAAAAAAACACTTAGGGGAATTTGGTGTGATTTGTAAGACATTTGGTTGGGGAATTTCAAGTTTTTTTTTGGATTTAACCATCAACCATAAGAGATTCATGGGGATACAATGGGCTAACTGACAAAATGGAAGGTATAAAGGCTAGAAACCAACCGTGGGGATTTAATAGAGATTCAATGGGATGGATAACCACCTAAATATGAGGTGCGTCAGATTTTTTAGGGTACCCTCCAAAGTGGTCATCAGATAATAGGGGAAATGACGACTATTAGGGGGTACCTATGGATATGGGTATGGATCAATACCTATTAATACCATTTTTAGTGGGTTATTCACATCCATTTACCAGCTATTTTCAACAGAAGTTGAAATGTCCAGCCAAACATTGACACATTGACCAGGGCGACGAGCCACTGGGAGCAAACCTGCTGCTGTACCACGGGTGTCGCTTCAGCCACATCGAGGGCATCTTGCAACGCGGCTTCGACCCATGCCACCCGGCGGCCAGTTCCGGAGTGGTGAAACACTTTTTGGTGATAAAAAAGGACGGAAAATCATGGAAAATCACAGTTTTCAATGCAGGGAATGAATCAAAGTGCAGCTTTCATGTCATAATGGGATTTGAATCGTCCACTATCATTGGCAACTTTTGCATGGCGAAGGCTGTATTCAAGAGAGTGTATGTCCGAGTTTCTTGCAATTAGACCTTCATTTTTTTTGCTGATTGATCCCCTGTTGCTTAGATAATAATGCAAATATGTTGGTCTTTCTGGTCAAAGTCGAAATGGATGTCAAGATTGTCAAGATTGTACAAACTGACGCCATTTTGATGGTTCCACCATGTTCGACCCCGGGAGCCAGCAGAGGTTTTGCTGGCGAGAACGCCGGACGTTTCTTCGGCACAGGGATCTACTTCACTGACGTAGCGGCCAAGGTGCAGATTTCTTTCGAACGCAGGTTTTGACAGTGCATGTTGACATTACATGGACGGAGTTTCTCAGAGTTGATGTTGTGTAAGGGTCGCTCCCACATCCTAGTTTCAGCTTGACCGGCTTGACCCAGTTCCAATGAGTCACCAGGCCGATACCTATGTGGATGCTGCTGTTGATGGCACCCGCTGCCTGATCCTGGCAGAGGTCTGCCTGGGGCGCCTGAAGACGGCCCTGCGGCCCATGCCCCGCCTGGACGGAAGTGGCTATGACGCGGTGCTGGGCGAAGACGTGCAGCATGGGGGCGCCATGGACCACAGGGAGTACGTTGTCTTTCGGGGAGAACAGGTGCTGCCAAGGTGGGGATGGCGACGATGATGATGATGACGATGACGATGAAGATGATGATGACGATGATGATGATGAAGATGATGCTGGTGGTGGTGGCGGCGGAGATGATGTTTCTGACGTTCGTGATGTTCATGATGATACCTATAGTAATGAGAGTGATATTGATGACGCTGGCGTTGTTTTTGTTGTTGATGATGATGGGTGAAGGACAACACATAGTTTTCCTGATTTCTTAGTAGCCCGCCTTCACTTTCCAGTCTCGGCATTTGGGATGATGAACTTGAACGGACATTTACGTTTAACTCCTGTTTTTTTGGTGGTGTTCTGGTAGTTCCCAAAGACACACCACTTGTGTTTTCATGTCCAGGTATTTGTTGTGGTACCGCCACCACGAGACCTGTCCGTGTTTTCGCTGCAGCAAAGTTCTGCCGCCTTTGCCGCTGTCCCTTTGTCGACCGGCCGCGACCGAGCCGCCTCCGAGCTCCGAACCGCGGAAGGCGCGGAAAGAGGAAGAGCTGCTGCGCGAAGACCGTGCGGTGGCCACGGCTTTGAGCGCGCGGAAACCGGGGTGCAGTTGGGAAGACTTCGTGGCCAGAAGAGCTGCCAAACAAAGCCTGGTGAAAAATCTTTGTGAGTTTTGGGATGCCTTGATTGTCTTTTCATTAATGGCCACTGTGATTGGAACTACAGATTGGCTGCTCATTTAGTGGCAAACCATCTTATTGCACAGCAACTCCTAATTTTGACTCCTGTCCGCTTGGCGAAAATTGGTTTAGTAGATTCTGGTTTCCAACTCTCAGGTAAACACACATGGCATGATGTCCATGGAAGGTGGAGGTCCGAGCCCTTTGAACTTTGTTTCGCAACATGGGCCAATCACAGCTTATTTTTTATCTTCTCTTGATCTTGTAGCATTTTGTAGGATCTTGTAACTATCTTAGCACATTCCATCCATTTCTCGGGGGATGTTTGAACAGAGATGCTTCTCCATTATTTTGGACAAAATGCAGGAACAATCTCCCCGCCTCGACCCGAATCCCATTGGAGATGGTTCCCCATTTTTCCTTACGACCTCCCAAAAACTTCTGGATGGATATCTGAAATTGAAATGATCTACCTAAATTACCAAGTTGGATCTTCATGGATTTCCCATGGATTTCCCATTTTTATATGCCATTGGCATATCCAGTCAATCCCCAGGTGAGATCTCTGGGACCGGACTCAGGCCTCGTTGCTGTCGATGGGTGCCATGCGGCAACACACCGTGGATGCGGAGGATGTGGTGATTCGCTTGTGAGGTGCGGTTCCCTTAGGGATTTCTTGGCCTCTTCTGGCTTGAAAAACCATGGAAATTCTGGGGATGTATGTGAATATAACTGATACACGCTGGTTGATGATTAGTTCAAACCAGTGGTTTCCCTATTGTCTTAATGACTACTTGGTGTTTCACCCCAAAAAATGAGTTCACCCGAGTGAGTGAGTTCACCCCAGTTCATTCAGTAGGGTGCAGCTATAGCGTGTTATAGCCCACTTGCTCAGTGGGGTGCCAGGTGTGACCACCAGAGGTGCCGTCGCACCAGCCGTCTGGCCGGAGCTGGAAAATCCTTTCTAAATGGAAGTTCTACTGGGAAACTTCCACTAATATCCACAATTCTATGGTAGATCCATCATGGGAAATCATCTTCTATGGAAAAACGAAAAATAATCTTCTACTGGGAAAAATTCTATAAATGGATATTTTCTAGGGCAATATCCACTATTTATAGTAGATGATCCCAGCTAGAAACCTCCATTTAGTGCGGGGATTTTCCATTGCCACGTTTGATTACCGCAGGGTAGTTCACATATAGCGCATTTCACGGGAACCTCCGAAGCATCAGGATTGAGGAGGAAGATCCCTTTAGTGGGGAAGGGCTGTCTTGATTGAAACTGTTCGAACCGTGGCAGTTTCGATTCTTGTCAGCTTTCACGAGCAGGCCGTAGTATATGTTCAGATCATTTGTGCACAGTGCATCTTCAGGGCTTTGCCCTGCCGGCTTCCCCAATGCGGGTAGTGACTAGTGGGTGTTGCACTGGTGATATTCAGTTTGTGCTTGTTGGCCCCCAAGCAGGCTTGTACATGCCTCCCCAGCATTGCTGGTGTGCCCAGAATGCTGCGTGGCATCTGAATTCTGTACCTCCACCTGCGCCTGCTGCTTCCCCTGAATTGTATTTTTGGGTCAAGTCAGGCGCCCCAAAAGAAAGGGATCTGTATAATCTGACAGGAAAGAATAGAGACGCTGTTAACTTGAATTGTGGAGTCTTGCTGTGCAATATGTTTCCGCAACACAAAGGACAATCAGCACATATGTCACATATGGTCTTTCAGTCGGTAGATATGCGTTCAGGTTCAAAGTCACAGTCACACACCTCTCCACGAAAGATCAAAGATGAGTGACTTGGCGCGTTCACCAAACAAAAAGGGTGCTGAGTTGTAACAGTTTAAACCGCACGGTTTTTGCAGTCAAGTTGGATTCCAATGAGTCAAAGGTTACGCATGTAATTGCCCTGCCTCCCAGAGACTCTCAAATGCATATGTGTCAAAATTTTACGCACCCCCATAATCCACAGATTTTACGAAATCATTTTCAGTAGTAGAGCAGTAGACCATCCATTTCCATACATCTTCCCCTAGGTTTTCAATGGTTTTCATACGCGTCATCGGCCATTTGGAAGCCGAAAAGCGGCTGTGTCACCAGAATGGTGGTTATGAATCACGAAAGAGATGTTTGATGGTTGTGAAAGAAACGAGATTAGTTCAACGCCAATCTTGTTCGACTACTCAATACGAAAACTGTTGCAGAGATGCTTGGCGTTCACCATAATCACCGACGGCCAAACATAATGAAGACCAAAGAAAAACCACCAACCTGGAATCTGAGAACGATTTTTCGACCCTAGACTCGCCTTTGCGAGGCACATGAAAAAACCGTGCAGCTGGGTGGACGGATCCAACTGATACTCGTAGCTGTGCTGACTGTTGGGGAGCACCTCTTTCAACAGTCTAGGATGATGGTGATTGCATGAGACCTACAACAGTTGGATGTTGTCAAGGTTTTTCAGACGCCTGGAACCATACATAATTACAATTGCTCCATATCTAGTTTGGACCCCGCAGTCCCACTTCCTGTACTTGGACATGACTGCACAGTCGGCATGCTTCAAGAATTTTGAACAAACCATGTTACCAAACCCATCACGACTGCAGTAGCCAGATGGTGAAAGCATTGGATTGCTTCCGCCGAGGATCTTGCTGCAAGATGACCGCACAAGTAGATATGGCGGTCTTTAAGCAACAAACGCATGGACATTGACCAACAAAATTATATAATATGTGTTGAATGATATCGATGGGAATTTAGACACAACTAAAACGCGGAAGTACACAGGCAAACGTGTGGAGCTACGTGAAATGGGGGGGTTTGAACAAACAAACATTGGGAAAGTAAACGCCAGAACCACGCATGTTGTCCATACCCAAACATTGATTGGAATACGGTGAGTTCTTGTCGAGCGCGACAGGTGGTTGGACAATGTTGGACATACCCACTCTTGGTTGACTCCTTGAGCCATGGCCCAAGCTTTGGTTGAACAATGCTTTATGGGCTTCTAGGTTAGGGTCTTGTTGAATGGGGCCAACGTTTTCCGCGCACAGGGAATCCCAGTCACACCTGTGGAACCAATCCCCCGCAGGATTTTATTGTTGAACATCCCTAGTTTTGAGATTTAGCATTAGCCCTTGTCCATTCTTTTTTGGCGTACTGCTCCATTGGGACTGTTGGGAGACATTACCAGCCCTAAACCTTCACTCCTGGTTGGCATACAAAATCATATAAGTTCACTATTAACAACAATTTCATGTAAATTTATATTTTTAGGATGACGACCCCAATTCACTTTCATATTTCTCAGCGGACAGTGGTCCCCTCAACCAGCAAAAAACAACCAGCGCCCGCATGGACAGTGCACGCTCCCCATGCGCCGGAGGTACAAAGGCGCGTTTCCTGCTTTGCCCCACGGATGTTACCCTCTGATAGACTAACATAACTATGGAAAATCACCATTTTCAATGGGAAAATCCACTATAAATGGTGATTTTCAATAGCTATGTTAAATGACCAGAGGGTAGACAGCCTCAAAGTGGCATGGCTTGTGACTGAAAAAGATAAAACAAAGACGAAGAACAAGTAAAGTTGGGTCCAAAATGTTGGTGCATAACCAGCCTTACCCTGACATTCAACCAGCTTTTATCCTGACATAAAACCTTCTTGGGGGGTGCCTTTCACCCTGACATACCCAACCCTCCGGACCAGAAACATTTTTTTGCAGGAGGCCTCGAAGCGGATGCGGAGAACCAAAGGAGTCCTGGTCGTGGGTCTATGAATGAAAGCCAAGACAAGAGAATAGAATTAACAATATATATATATATATATTATAGTGCCCAGACTGTATTTCCTTTTTCTTTTTGTGAATCATGAATGTATGTCGCAATGTAATTCTAATTTTTTTCCATCCGTATTTTGTGGAAATCTGTAATGGATTATGCCTGGCAGGCGGTTCTGTACTCTACTAGTATGGTATCAGTAGTTTGTTGACAAAGAGTCACCAAATGTTCCAAAGCCATCCCTGAAAACTTGTCAAGCCTCATCCTGAACATACCCGTATTCTAAAGAGAGCACGTGATACAGAGTGAGACATATTTTGCGTCAGATAGCGTCAGCTATAGGGGTTCTTACTTCTCTATGTAGAGGATCCCGATCGGCGAACATTTTGCCGCTGCAGCCTTCTTGTCTCCCAGTCTTGTCTCCGTTCGTGATTGCCGCCTTCGCTGCCGCTGCTAACTTGCTTCCGAGTCTTGTCTTGCTGCTCTGCCAGTCTTGTCTGCGAACTCGAAGACCGACGAAAAAAGTCTCATTGCTATCTGGGGTCTATGCCGGGGTATTTTTTTGGGGAAAGCTGTTGTATCTTTCAAAACACATGGAAATTTGGGTTTCCGGGCACCCCCCCCACTCACCCACCCAACCACCCACACACACACACACAATTGCACACAATTACACACAATTACACACAATTACACAATTATCAACATTTTATATACTGTGATATCATAGACAGGACTGAGCGGCAAAAGGAGGTATCCCTGCTGCAGCAGGTGCTAATGGGTCGGTAGATTGATGTATAAGTGGGTGGCAATAAAACCCCAAAATGTGGCAATTCAACAACGGGGAATCATGTTTCTCTTTTCCTTCTCTCGGAGAAACCCAGATGTTACCAGATGTTTGTAGATTTGCGGACTACCTTTTTGCAATTTGGATGGGAAAATAGAGGAACCAACCAAGAAACGACGGCTTCCGACCGTAGTTCTTTTATTTTTTCTACGATATCTAAGATGTGCAACGATTTATCTCACCAACACTGGGATCTTGAAACCATTAACTTAAGAAATGACGACCTAATCAAAAATGATGGCCTCTGTGACATATGAACAGGCTTGTGATTTCGAACTCGAGGTTTGCAGACTGGAGTTCAGCCAATTCTTGGAGACCTATGACTACGGGCTACGGGTATTTTTGCTTACCCAAAGAGTGTGCACCCAGCATTTTCTGGGTCGTCATCATCCCAAAGATTGATGATCATGCGTTGCATAGGGTACAACATGGTACAACTGATTTCATGATTGATCACCAATTTCTAACTACCAACCATCACTTTTTCAGCTGAAAATGATGAAACTCCAAGCATCGAACGTTAAAGATCACATACACAATTTCATGGTTTATTTTGGTTGATCAGCATTATCCAAGGATCGATACTTTTTCCCCATCGATCACCATGGATCAATTGATTTGATCATGGCCGATTCCAATTATCATGGTCACATTGTCTCCATAATTTTCCCACAATCGACATGGGATTGGTTTAAGCGAACATTATGGAAAATTGAACAACCGGAAAACCCAAAAAGAACCCTACATGTGATGGGGAAACAACCCTACAATGCCCCTGATGGGAAAACCGGCAGGTGCTGCAGTTCGGCTTCTCAGGCGACGCCAGGCGTCGCTTGGCGAATGCGCTTCGGTCGCCGACCAAAAATGGTGATTTTTTAGGAACAAAAACATTGGATTCTGCAAGAAGACATGGAGACTTTATGGCGAATGAACATGAATTAAGAAAGTAAAATAGGATTTTGGTCCAAGAAATAACCATTTTGATCCACAACTTGGTGGTTTAAATCAACAAAACTCAGCTGAAGCAACAGGAACTGGGCATGGGCGAGGATGTGTAGCAAAGGATGGGAATAGGGATTAAACATGATTTAAACCATTGAATAGATCAGGATTTAAAACTCAAACATTTTTGTTAACCGTTCGCCAAACATGTGGTTATGACGCCTTCATCTATGTGGAGATGTTGACCATGAACATATGGCTCAACAACGATGAAACATGAGGAAACATGGGGATGTGAATGAATCACCACAGGATTGTAGTGGTGAAACTGGCACAGCGCAATTTTCCGTGATGTTCGATTTAACCTGCGATGATGAAACACCAACCATGAAGGGATAGGTACCATGGCTTATTGATTGGCTGGATGATCATAAAGTTTGACCAAGGTTGAGAGGCTTCCCTACCTAGAGGTTCCCCTATAAAAATGTCTACACTATATAGGGGTATATGATATGGTGTTTCATAAAATCGGGGTATCCCCAAATCATCCAACCTTGGACCATTTTGGATCATGTTAGTATTGAAACCTATGGGTTTGGGGGATTCCGCATCTTTAGAACCCCCCCCATATCGTATAGATGAAGATCTATCCATGTCGATGACGGCTCTACTTTGGATGGTCTGTAAAACCGACCAGCTGTGCAACTGGTTGGTTGAATACTAGAAGGCTCCCCCGCGTTGAATATAACAATATATATAATATATACCAATAATGTTGGCTATATAATGCTATATATATAATATAATGCTATATATATAATATAATGCTATATATAATATAATATATATATATAATTATATTATATATATAATATTGTATATATAATATTATATATATATATGTATATTTTATACATATATATATATATACATATTATACATATATATATATATTGATAATACATATATTTTTTGCAAAAGGACATTATTGATATATGTTGGTTTCTGCAAATTGGCGGGCCCTTTTTAACCATCGATTTTCCATGGTTTCCTCATTAAACAGGACAAATGTTTGGACGATTTTGGAGTCCCCCCTGGTACCCCGATTTTTAGAAAGCACCGTATGTGCCATGGGCAAACCGTGGTTTGTTTTCCAATAAAAGAGGATGATCATCCTTTTCATTGTGTGGTTCTTATATCCTTTTTTGGGAATCCCATTCATGACGATGGGATGACCCTAGCCCATAATTCCCACGTAAGTTGACGACTATGGCTATGTTAACCAAGTTCTGTGCCTCTCCAAGGTAGTGCCCAAGATGGTCAGAGTCCACCCCCATTGGCGTCACTTGCTTGGGAAACTGGAGCAGAAACTGGAAGATACAACCAGATATTCAAAGTGTGCGGCAGAATCCACGGTTTTTACTGATGACTTGCTGCAGATGAAAAGAAATGAAAAACATAGAGTTCATCATCCCCTTACCCTGCGAATAAGTTTCTGACAAACTATATACATACACATCTTGCAGTACTTGCACCCGTCCAGTCCATGTAGGGCAAAGGAAAACGAAGGACTTGGGGACAAGTGGGATCGGGGCAAAATTAGTGACTGCCAAAAAAGACGACGGTGTGAGAATTCCTAAAACGATGAAATTACAGTAATATGTTCATATGGCTATGGATCAATACCTATGAAAATACAATTTTTAGTGGGTTATTCACATCCATAAATCCCAGCTATTTTGATGTGAACTACAGGGGATTCCATGGGTTTTGACCCACTGCCATATCATTTCATATCCTAAATAGGATGGTTTAGACTCCGGCTCGTTTCCCAGGTCCCATGTGGCGGCCTTCCTGGGGTCCGGCGGGTTTTCAGGGTTTTCAGGGAGCTACCCGGAAGACCATTGGTCCACCAGATGGGCAAATGTGAAGATCTGGGGATTTGAATATGGAAAAACCAAGGGAACACTATGGAATTCGATGAAAAGATGGGTCCATAGGTTCGGAGAAATCGATACTGTAAATGTATCAGATGTCCAAACAAAGGGGATGTTTTTTTTTTTTTACCATGGCACTCCATAGATATTCATAGATGATGGTTGGCAAGGGAATCAGACAAAATAGAGACTCATTTCCTTGGGATTTCGATAATTTGCACAGATGGATTTTTGGCTTTAGTTATACCATGTTTATACCCATAGATGTCCTTTTCCTACTAGTAGGGTTTCATCCGCCCCGTTGTAACGGTATGCCGTATGCCTGACCGGCCCCTTTGTTTTTCCCAATGGGACATTGTATGCTTATAGCCAGCATGCGGCAATGAAACATGGCTATGGACAAATCCACATTTATAATAACGTATTGAAAATAGGTATGTACGGGGGATTTTCCCACTAAACATTCATTTATATGACGGGATTTCGCATTGCCATGTTCGGGCCCCAAATGGTCTCCCATTTTGATCTGCCCAGATCCATTAGTTTTATCTGTTTCCCAGGGCCTATGGCTGCGTACGACTGGCACGCTGTGCGATGGGCTGGCAGCGGTTTGTTCCCACAGGTGCCAGCTGTAAATCTCCCTTTGGTGAGTTCCCCAGAGAAATGGGGGCGACCATAAAACAAGTGTGATTGAAGCAACAAAACATCCGAAGCGATCCATAAAAGTCGGGCTTTTAGCAGTATGCAAGTCTATCTATGATTTAAACTGCCAAACATGGGCTTTTGGGGACCCTTAAGGGTGCGTTGCTGAGATATTCAGCAAGGATCAGGAAAGCTATTTGGCCGGTGAATGGCTAGGTTCACCCACCAAGTGCGGGAGGTTAAGGGATGAAGATAAGGGAGGCGGCTGGTATGACCAATCAAAACATGTGGATGTTTGGATGTGACCAACCGGTGAAATACAGGTTTGCATTTGTTTGTGGAACATGTCATACCGAGCAAAGTGTTTTGGGCTTTAGGGTTCGTCTAAAAGTCTGATACATGCAAAAACATTGCCCCTGAAAGGTATTTGGGCATGTCAAAGGATACGGTTTGAACGATAGGGTCTGGTCGGAAAGTCGGCCATTCAATGGGTATCCTGGATTCATAAAATTGGTGACCTTTCATTGGACAGTTGGTTTTACAATCCATTTGATCAATCTGCCCTCTGGTAATTCAACATAGCTATTGAAAATGGTCCATTTATAGTTGATTTACCTAGCAAAAATGGGGATTTTCCATAGTTATGTCAGTTTACCAGAGGGTAAATGGGACTTGCTTAAAAATTCGTCTTGGTGCACTGAAAATGCAAATCTAAGCTATGCAAAAAGGGCTAAGTCAACTGGTCGCCCATTTTTCAGGATGGTCTTCCAATGAAAATGCACAAAGTCTGCGGACACACACACACACAAACACACACACAAACACACACACAAACACACACACAAACACAAACACAAACACACACACACACCACACCACAACACACCACAACACAACACAACACAACACAACACAACACAACACAACACAACACAACACACACACAACACACACACACAGAAACACACACACACACACACCACACACCAACCTGCGGCTCACACACAACACACACAACACACACAACACACACAACACACACAACACACACAACACACACAACACACACAACACACACAACCCACACAACACACACAACACACACAACACACACAACACACACAACACACACAACACACACAACACACACAACACACACAACACACACAACACACACAACACACACAACACACACAACACACACAACACACACAACACACACAACACACACACACAACACACACACACACATACACATATGTGTATATATATATATACATACATGTTTCCATATGACTATTTTTCATGGCCGTGTTGGACAGCTGTTCGTAAACATGGTTGCTTCCCATACTGCATTAGCACCAAACAAGAGTTGGTTTGCAATGATCCCAGGAACCAATGAAGAACTTTGATGGCCACCGAAGCCATAGCCATGGGTAATTGGTCTGACCTACCCCGACGTGGAACATTGGGTAACTAATCACTGGCCTTGGGATTTGCAAATCACAGCCAAAGTGATACATTGTGCGACCATATACCCCTGTATGTGTATGTGTATGTACATGGATATGCATATGTATATGTATATGTACATGTATATATATATATACATACACATGCTTACCCCCCGCCCAAACCTACTATCTGAACAAACACGTAGCACCTACAACAACAATAACAACGATGATAACGATGCTAGCAACATTTCGACACCACAAAAGACATGGACATAGATACGGAATGAGGTAGATGGAATCAATCTCAATCAACAAATCCCAGAAACTTCGCTGAAAGGTGCAAGGTCCAAATCCCGAAAGGTGCAAGGTCCGAAAGGTGCAAGGTGCAAGGTCTTCCCAATCTGATGCATCCGCCATTGCAGGTCTGCGAGGGGAAGATCTCCAACGCTGGGCCCTGGAGCATTGGCACCTTGAGCCCAACTGTGGCAAACTTGGGTTGCCCCAGCTGGTTAACCGTAGCCATGTCATACTTTGGGAGGTTTATTGATGTAGCCCCGTTGGTTCTTGTTGGTTTCTATGCTCCATCGTCCAAGTATGTCCAAGTCTTCTCTCTTCGAAGTTATTCACAAGACATGTTCTATCACCTTCCATGTTTAATGTGAAATATCAATGGATTGGTTTTCTTGGGAAAATCTTAACCGGAAACCATTGATTTTCCCATTAAATCTTGGGTTTTCCTGTAAATTTTCCCTTAAACCAATCCAGTGAAAATAGCAGCCACTTCCTGTAGATCTTCCCCCAGTCAGTCAGTCTACGTGTTGGGTGAAATCAACGGCTGGACTAACCACTAGCTACTAACATCTACTAGTTGTTGGTTAGTGTTGGTTAGTAGTAGTACAGTATGATTTCTTGGCTACTATTGTCGGCAACTGATGTTTATGACGCATTTTATGACGCATTTTATGACGCATTTTATGACGCATTTTATGACGCATTTTATGACGCATGTTGACGCATGTTGAATGAATTTGCATAGAATGGCATGCAGTAGTCACGATGAACGGTGAACTCACGGGTATTTTGCTGGGTACATTCCATGTTTTTGGCTTCACAGGGTGTTTTAACTAAACTGATTGATTGATTGATTGATTGATTGGGTTTTGGTTTTGATGTTTTTTCTTAGCAAAGGACACCAACCATATTTAAAAACATACACCAACCATCATATTATATCCATTATAATTACAGTATATCACATCGTGATAGTTGATAGTTTTTGATGACACAATCCAACAATAACCATTCGTAGTAGTATGGTTGATTAGATAATTATGATTGATCACATAATGATGATTGATCAAATTGCAAATATCAAGCATATCTACCAATACTTGGTGGCTCCAGTTAGTACGTGGACTAGTTTGCCCCACTTGTAACTGGACATTGCCTTAACTTACCTGAATGAACTGAGGTTTCAAAACTAAGCCACTTACGATTCCTGAGAGGGTATCCAACGATTATATTCCAAGTATATCATATTGTATCCCATGACACTGCCATTTTTTTCCCCTAAACTCCATTTTTTTAATGAGATATTTGGGGTTTCCGAAGTCATAGGAGTACCCGATTTGTCATCCGTTTCTAGATGGGATTTTCCATGAAATACAGAAAAACCATCATCAACCATCCAGCTATTGGGGTACCCCGATGCCGATGGAAGTTCGCCCATGGTCCAATTCAGGCCAATCAGGCCGGTCCTGGAGGCACCACCTCAGGCGAGCCATCGTGGCGGTTAAATAACACCCATGGGAAGACTGACCAGAATTCCTAAAAAGAGTACGGAGAAAAAATTGGGTGACCAAATTTACTATGAATATTGGTAACTTCCTAGTAAATGAAATATATGTAAAATGTATGAATATACAAATTTACTATTTAATATGTTAATATATGGCGAATTTCCCCCAAACTATGGTAAATTCCCATGGTAAATCATGGTAAATCTTGCCATGATTTACCCCCATATTTTACCATATTTTACCATGACAATTCGGAGGATTTCACGATTGACATTTTGGTGGCGATTGGATCTTGAATGAAACAAACAACACGGGAATTTAGATAACTTGTTCTTGATGGGATATGAATATTAAGCAACAAACATGTCTGGGATGTAATTGCTGTGCATCAAACATACTGACACCTTTTAGGCAAGCCAGCTAGTGAAGGGTAGGTTCTCATGGGTTATCTTTAGCCCATGAAGAGATGAATATTGAATATACTCTTTGCATCTCTTTGCAGGGAAAGATCTTGGACAGACCCATGGTAAGGCAGCCTCTCAACCGGTAGAGCCAGGCCACATCATTAGTTTCGAAACTCTGCACAACTGGCTGAGAAAACACAAATTTTGATAAATGTGTTCATTCATTTCTTAGAGTTCTGAGAATGGAACATTGCAAGGCTCAATCCGTATGTGTGCGCGTGTGTGTGTGTGTGTGCTGGATCTTCGCTGGTTTACCTCCAGATACATACATGCATGCATACGTACATACATAGATACATAGATACGTAGATACATAGATACAACGATACGTAGATACATAGATACATAGACGCATAATTAGACACATATACACAAATACACATACACAGTCCATTGCAATGCATTCCATTACATCATTACATTGCATTGCATTGCATTACACTGCATTGCATTACATTGCATTACATTGCAATACATTCAATTGCATTACATTGCATTGCATTACATCACACACACACATGTATATATTATAGATGAACTGGGTCATACTCAGACTCGGATGCCTCAGTGGATGGCAGGATATCACTATACTGCCTCTGATGGCGCTCTGGGCGTTCCTCGGACCGACCGGGGGCGGCCATGGTTCGACTTAGGACTCAGCCCCCTGGGCCTGGAAGCTTTACATCCCAAGTCTCCGGTCCCAAGTGGAGTCACCCTCCAGCAAACGAACAGAACTATGGAAGAACAACATTTTAAATAGGTAAATCATCTATAAATGAGCCATTTTCATCCATTTTCCATAGCTAGGTTGGTTTACTGGAGGGTAAAGTTGGAATATCGGTCACAGCAATGGGGATATCAGTACAATGGGGGTTCGTAGGGCTTTCACGCGGTTCCACCGAATCCACTGTGGGAAAGTAGTGTCCTCAAGTGGTTCACTACTCAAGAAATGATCAAATCCAATTTAGCACCCCTTTTTGATGGGACCATCCAATTTTCATCCAGAACTGGGTGTATATGGTCATTCGCCACACAATTTGATTGAGATGCACCCGCAAGTAACAAGTCCATGGGGTACCCCCAAAATGATTGTTGTTTCAAACCAGGGTTACCCAGCAGCTATTTGGATGGCCACGCGCGGTGGCGGATCGCTGACATGGAGGCATGTCCACCATACCATGGTGGTTCCATAGGGTGGTTCCAGAATCCTGGAGAGATGGAACATATTATGATAGAAGAATTGTACTAATATATGTATAATAGTATACAGTATATATACATATATATATATATATGTTATTATATGCTACTATATATTGCTATATATTACTGAATAGTAGATCACGTTAATATGGAAAACTCAGGAAAATGCAATCAAGGCCTGTCACTTGAAAGGTGCAAGCCCTCAACGAGGCCCGCAACCCCCAACATGGCAGCGCTTGTCTAACTGCAACATACACATATAGATCTTATAAACATGAATGAGATGTTTGTTTATGCACACCTTAAGACTCAAAACCTTGATTTTGAACGCTTGTTTTTACCCCCGTCTCATTCGAAAGGGTCTGAAGATGTGCATTTTTGGATACGAGTAGGTGAGGGCCTTGACCGCCTTGACCCATATCCATCTAAGTTCTTTCTGTTTGTTACTGTCAGAGCCATTATAAACTCATCACACATTCAATATATCCTCGCAGAAGTGGTCAATTTTATACGTGTCCCCCCCATGACTAAGGAAACCTCCAGATATGTGTATCTGGGGTTATGGTGATGACAACAGTTATAACTGTAGTTATATAGATAATGTTAGATATAGTTAGATGGGGAATTTGGGATCTTACACTTAGGTAATGAATCTAATGAAACAGATTACTATTGAACATCCAGATTTTCAAGCCACGTCCACGTTGTCTCCCAGGCCTGTTTCAGCCAGCGAACTTCCAGCCATGCTGGACACGGCCGGGGCGGACGCGGGGTCCTAGGAGGTGGTGTTCCCCGATGTTTATTGGGTAAAATCAGCTGTACTTATCCATAGACCCCAAACTAACAGTAACCCAGTAAACTAGACCAACATAGACCAACTTCATTGTGGGGCACCACCTGCAACAACATTTAAGTGCTAGACAATGTATCCCTGTTTTTCGATTGGATTCCCATATTTTATCACACTACTTGATGCACCTGACTGAGGCTACAGGTCAAACATCACCCCGTGGCCCCCTGGCCCTAAAAATCACTTGACCCATTCTGAAGTCGTGAACTGGCGCTTGATATGGCTTTCTCCCAACATTCCCAATCCACTGGCGAATCATCACCCCATGATTCCTGGAAACCCATGAGGAAGACGGGGTGAGGGAAGATATCCCCATTCTGTGCATGGGGACATTCAAAGCGAAGTTATGTATATATGTACAATTATTATATATGTACACCTGTTTCATGAGGTTTCATAGTTCCCCCTCTTACATGTAGTACATCCTCATGTATAACATTTCCATTAATCATTAATCATATTTCAGTTATATTCCCATTGATATTCCCATTGGATTTCAATCATATTCCCATGGAAAATTCCACGATAATGGACAAATAATGGATGATTTGGTCCAAAATTCCCATTGTATTCCCATCCATAAAGGATCATTGGAAGATAATTCCCATTTTAGGACACCTCCATCTAATGATATTCCCATTAGCCTCTGGTAAATTAACTTGTAGACCCTGAAAATCGCCTAGTTTTAATGGAAACTCATCTTCCAACCCCCAAGACTGCCAGGGTCGAACTGTTAATTTACCAGAGGGTAATATTTAACGTAGCTATTGAAAATGACCATTAATAGTGGATTTTCCCATGAATAGCATGGGGATGTTCCATAGTTATGTTAAATTACCAGAGGGTAATGAGGATACCATAGTTATATTCCACTTGATCCCATCCGGGTTTTTCCATCTGCGAGGTCTTCGCGAGCTTTGCCCGGGAACCGGAGGCCTTGGGAAAGGCCGATGCGCGTGGCCAACTGCCGCTGCACGTGGGGCTTCTCGTGGATGGCTGGGGAGCTATTGGAATGACCCTGGTTGATTGGTGATTCTAGGGGATTATGAATTCACATTTATGAGCGATAGGATTGGGATTGTGAACTAAACCATTGGTGATTATGGGGAGTTATACATAGTTATACTACCTAGGCTATTTTCATCTATTTTCTGGATTATTGAAACTGTGAATGAATCAGGGAGAGTCTGCAAAGATTTACAACTTTCATGACCTCAGGTGGTGATGAATGTGCCACGGTAGAATGACGGTAAAATGACGGAAATGCCAGGATTTTAGCTGCAGACATCATTTATCATACGACTGTCAAATGGGTAGTTCTCTGCAAACATCTTTTTTTTCTTTCCACCATTGCTTTATATTGCTTTCGCCGTATCAAACATGACCACTCTCAGGTGGATTCCTGCCTCCATGGCTTGTGATCCATGGATTTCCCGTCAATCCTCATTTTGGCTGGTAAATCTCCATCTTGATCCATATCGTTGCTTCTATCCAACCAATTTTTACGCTCTATCCCATCAGAATGCCACTTGGAAGTGCAGTTCCAGTTTTAAGTGTTATAGGGACCCCATATCCCAACTTGTGGGGGTTTAGTTCACCATGGTTATATCCATTTGTAAGTCACCTCAACTGCACCGCCAAGTCACCTCACTGTATCCCTAAGGACCTCCCCATGGGCCTTGGTCCCGTGGTCGCCCGTGGTGTCCCGACCGAGGTAGCCGCCCGGCGGGGCAATGCCGCGCTGCTGCAGCTGCTTCTGGTGCGATGACGAGCCGTGTGGGCGATGGGAAATCATCATCATCGTCATCATCATCATCATCATCATCATCATCATCATCATCATCATCATCATCATCATCATCATCATCGTCATCATCATCATCATCATCGTCATCATCATCATCATCATCGTCATCATCATCATCATCATCATCATCATCATCATCATCATCATCATCTCGTCGTCATCATCATCATCATCATCATCGTCATCATCATCATCATCATCATCGTCATCATCATCATCATCGTCATCATCATCATCATCGTCATCATCATCAT